AAGGAAGAGAAAAGAAGAAAAGAAAAGGGAAAGCATGGACGAACCAATTTTGGTTCGTCCACGCGTAAGTTCGAGAGAAATGAGAAAGCAAGAATAAAAAGAGAGAGAAAGAAAGGATCCAACGAAAGAGGAAAAAGAAGAAAGGAAGAAAAAAGAGAGGAAGAGAGAGATGGATGAACCATTGTTGGTTCGTCCATAGTGAGAGGGAGATTCGAGAGATGAGAAAAAAGAAGAAGAAGAAGAAAGGAAGAAAGAAAAAAAGAGAACGGTTGGAGAAGGAGAGAGAAAAGAAATGGGGTTTTCATCCAAGATTTTTTTTAAAAAAAAATAGTTAGGTTGTGTTGTTGGGCTTGGATTTAAGAAAATGATATGGGTTGGGCTAAGCCCAACTCATGTATGATTAAGCTAGGTTGATTTTAGTTCAACTCCGCCCAAAAAAAAAGAAGAGAAATTTCCGACCTAAAAAAAAATGTCTTGGTTTTCATTTTTAATTTTATGCATGTTTTTCATTTCATATTTAATTTAGATTGTAAATTATTTTTAATTATTTTAATTAGTATAATTTTAATCTTGAATTTATTTTATGTGTGTTTGTCAGTTTTATATTTAGATTTTAATATTTTTAAATTTTTTATAATTATTTTAATTTTAACCTTGAATTTATTTTATGCATGTTTGTTATTACTTTTGATTTCAGTATTTGAATTTTCTTTGATATACTTAATTAATATAACTTTAATTAATTTATTTAGTAATTAGACTTGTTAATTAAAAAATGGAGGATTGTCAAGTCTCCTAATTGTTTAGGGATTGATGACGACCTTCTACCAAAAAAAAAAAAAAAAAGAGAATAGAAAAAAAATCATAAAATGTTCAACAAAATCTCTTATCTAATAAGGATCTGTTATTAACCAAAATAAATCATTTTTAGCAATTACGTTGTTTTTCAACACACCGGTTGTGTCAAAACTTAAAGTGGATCCAATGTTTGAAAAATTATTATGACAAGAAAATAAAGATCCAATTTGACATGACTCGTAAAAAATATAATTTTAAGTTATAATTAAAAAAATCATTAACAATTTACTTTCAAAATATATTTAATAAAAAATGATTCAAAATAATTTTCTTTCGGAAAATAAGGTAATACAAATCATAATTAATAGATTGAAAGTTCGAATTTAGAAAAAAATAATGACTTAATTTTATAACTACTTTTTATTTAACTCAAAATTATTTTTAGTAAAAAATAATTATTTTTTTCAAATTAATTTTTTTAAAAACAAATCAATGAATTCTTGCTAATAATTTAGTTGAAAAAATTCCCAACAACGAGACAAAATCTTACTACAAATAATCTAGCTAAAAAAAGTTCATGTGGCATGGAAGTATACTAAGTCATAAAGCACATGGTTTTGTTGTCTAACAACGTTTAAAAATTGGTTTACAAAGCTCATTTTGTAAACAATTGCTTAAGAACAATAATGTATTTATGCTAAAAAATGTCTTTTATAGATTGTGTTATTAGTACTTTTTTTCCTTCTCATTTTCAAGTTTTTAAAAAATATTAAACTGATATTGTTTTTTGAAAATTGAGTTTTTATCAAATTTTCCTCGCTTTCAAATTTAAAAAACATAGAACACATCCTTTTATGATCATCCTAGAATATGTTGGTTTCGAATATGATAAATTTTATCTTGTTTCATTGTACAATTGTTTGATTAAAAGGAAAAATAAAAAATAAAAGACAACATGTTTCTTTAAATAGTATCCACACTCGTTATTTTTTTTTTCACAAATAACACCTTCTTTGAGCTAAATGACAAAACGAATTCCATATAAAAATTCTAGCTATATAGCAATGCATATTTAATGCCCCTAAACTTTATTATCAAATATATTTAATTGATTCTCGTGAGTTGATAAATTGATAAATGCAATTAAAGAGTAAAACTATTAAAATTGTTAAACCGAACAACCGAGCAATATCTATCATTTAATTATAAACATGTCTTTTTACTCTATTTTTCAAATTTCATTAAAATTTATTTAAAATTCATATACTTACAATTTAGACATTCTTTACCTTTAATTCTCAAAACATTTTTTAAAAATTGATTTATCATAATAAGTAATTTGATTATTAGTTTCGATACACATCTATGTATAAATATAAAAATAGCTATAGATTATTTAAGAATTCAACAAGCAAATCACACGTATAGATTATCTACTTCCTATTTTTTGTACAAACCATGCATTTTCAATTTAAATCTATAACCAAAAAAATATAGAAAAAGAAAATCAAGCTGTTTTACAAGAGAAACAAAATTTTGTATATTAGTTTATAGATTGTCCCTATAAAAAACGAAGTTATAATTTTACATAATATATTTTAAAAAAATTGCATTAATAATTTTACGCAACCACTAGAAGCACAAATAAATATTCACAAACATAATCATACAAACTTATTTTATTTAAAACGTATTTCACTCATAACAAGAGAAATTACTCTACCAATATTAGTAAACAACAGAGTTAATCTTTTGCTTTTTTAACATGTCAAAAGATGCGTCACTTCTTTTATCAAACCAAACAAAAAAATATTATTAATTAAAAATTCATTATTGCATGACATTTGAAAACCAACTTCATAGACTACACTACAATATTAGAACATGTCTACAAAAATTTATTACAAAAAGGAGCTCTTCCACACTTGACACGCCCAAAAAAAAATCATTGAATGATGACCAATCACGTAATTTTACTCCTCACATAGATAAGATGCTCTTTAACTTTGTATGTGTTGGGACATACCTACACTTAATATTTTGTTGTCCATGAATTATGTTTAGCTTGATATTCTTTATCTTATATTTTTATTTTATGTGTGTATTTACATCATATCTAGCTCAACATTTGCAAAATTTTGTACGTGTTTAATTTTTTTTCAACATTATTCTTTAAGTAATATAGCACCTTTTATTATTACTTTTATTAGTTGATTTTTTTCCCACTTCTACAAATATCGCATGAAAGGTATTTTACTAAGTTATTAGCCAAACTTGCTTCCTTGTATCTATTTTTTTTTTCATTTGCACGATTCCCCTAATCCTTGCAACAAAACAACCTACCAAACACTTGAATTTCATCCATCTCATGAGTTAATAATAATTATCATTTTTTCTTTTAATATGTCACGTTCAAGTCGAATTTGAAAGATGAAAACAAAACAATCATTTGTAATTTCTTCTGCACACCCATTGTTAAGACACAAGTTTGATAATAAATATTTAGTTTTTGGTGTAACCTTTTATCTAGATGTACCACATGAGTACTTACTATTTCAAAACAAACAAATACATAAACATTGCTTTTGATGAACAAACATACCAAGACTAGGCGCTTGTTTTTTATTATTGGTTCAGTTCTTTTTTTGTTTTGTTAAAATATGTTTATCGAATATGTTTTCAAATATTTCACGGAAGTCGTTTAGTTACACGAAAACATATACTTGCATATTTTTAGATGAATGAACCAACGAGTTGTAATTGATTAAACTTTTTTTTGTAACTTATATATACTTTATGCTTTGTCACTCAAATCTTATCGATGTTATCGAAGCTTCGCAAATACTTTTTTTATTACTATTAAAAAACATATCATCTTTTGCTCAAATTTTTGTTTCGTTCTTTTATTCGAATAATTATTTATCATCGAAACAATGAAAGAAAAAAATTCAAACATTTGAAATCCTTCCAACTTTCTTACCTTCTTACAAACACAAATAAGAATAGTTTGTCGTTCAACATTCATTTTATTGCTGCGTAGCGCAGACATTAACCTAGTAACTACTAAACCATCATATTTGTAATGAAAATTTATAGAGATAATTGATTAATCAAGTTTTGCGAGTATAATTATTTAAATAAAAACAAAAAAAATCTGTATAATTACTCAAATGAAAACAATCATAAAGCACTATGTTATTATCTTTTTTAAAAGGAAAATATTAAAATAATATCGTTTGGGTTCATTTGACGGAGAGTTAATTGCGAGACTCAGCACTTTAGTGACAAAACTGAAGAAAGTGGTCGATTGGTCAAAATTTATGAGTACACGTATTTTAATAGAAAAAAATCAGTACAGAAACCAAAATCAAAAAAATAGAAGAGTACAGGTACTCCAAAAGCTTTCATTCTTTGTGTTAACAATACGGATTCCGGACCAAGCAAGGGCAGGGAGCGATGGGCTAAGCCTAGGAGGAGCCATGGTTCGAGCGAAGCCGAGCCCTGAGCGCGCGAATGAAGGATTGAATGTTCAACCTTCCTTCCCCACGTTAACCAACCGTTCCGAGACCTAGACTACCCAAAACCACACAGACAAAACTCTTCTCATCCTTCTCTCTCTCAAAAACCTAGCCAATCAGGCGGAGGAGGATAACACTGACTCAAACTAAAAAAATAAAAAAATATAAAAAAGAGGACTTATCCCCCCTCTATTTATCTCTTCAATTCTCTCTCCGTTTCTCTCCTTTCCTCTCTCGTCGCTCCCTTCTTTGCTTGCGCCTTTAATACAGCAAGTAGCCGCCAGTTTTAATTGAAGTGGTGCTCCTTTCTATTCAAGGTATGTTTTTCCCTTCAATTATTTAGGGTTTTGCCTATTTCCAATTCGAATGATTTTTTACTTGTCTGGCTCTTCGATTTTTGTATCTTGGGTGCATTGTTCGATAATCATGATTAATTTTAATTTCGGATTCTTTATCAATAAAACGTTGGATTAAATTCAAATATTGATTTATAATAATTATTTTCTAAAGTATATAATATTCTTCCAATTCTCAATGCATCACAGAACTTTGAACTTGTTAATTAGTTAATATTTATAGTAATTTTGGTTTTGCTTGTGGATAATAACGCAGGTATACTTAAAACATGTTGCTGTAATCTTCCACTGAGGATAGGATTGATTGCTGATTTCTTGTGTTGTGCTAATGGGGGCTGATCAACGGAGAAAACGGCTTAATGCTGCCAGCCTTGCTGGCTGTAGTTCCTGGGAGCCCTACAAAACCAAAAAGAACAAGAAATCAAAGAATGACGTGCATGCAAAATCTCTTATTTCTCTTGAGTGGGATGGCAACCGAAAAAAGGTAGTTGCCAAAAGGGAGCAAATTGGCATCAGTCGGACAGATTTGAGGCCTTTTATTGATTCTGTTCCACAGCATCATAATCCTTTAGCAGATGTTTTTGCTGTTCCTCGAGAAGTTTTTGAGTTGCAGAATTTGGCAGAGGTCCTTTCGTATGAGGTGACTGTAACTTGTTATTGTTGCTATTAACTACTTTATATGCATGATTTTTCTTGCTTGCCTAACTTTTTTGTTTTAAATCCTCTATGTGGAATTTTATGCAGTCTTGGCAAACTCATTTATCAGAAAATGAGAGAAACTTTCTTAGGCAGTTTCTACCTACAGGACTAGGTGCAGAAGAAGTTGTGGAAGCATTGCTTTCAGGGGATAACTTCCATTTTGGAAATCCATCACTCAGATGGTAAGTATTGAGATATGATACTAGTTTTTTTCCCGGAATGACTGACTTCCTTTTTTGCAAATCCCTTTGGAGACATGCAATACAGATGCACACTTGAGTTTCGATGTTTGTCTTTGTGTTCACTGGTCAAGACTTTATGTGGGATGCTCTGTTTTTCTCTTTCACTATCTAACAAGCTATTGCCATGTGGTATTGAAGCTTTTCTTTCCCTCCCCCTTTTCCAACAATGTCTTCTTATCCCACCTTGTTTGGGCTTGCATGAATATATGTGAGAAACAAATTTCATACTCATTCTATTGGCTGTGCAGAATTTTCTTTCCTGTTACTCGCTGATTTTTCATGAGAAATACTGTCATGTCCTGAATTTTTAGCATTTAAGGAAGAAGCATAACAATGGCAGCATAGAGTGGTTGGATTTTATTGATACCTTTGTTTTCAATTGCTACTGCATTAGTGGGAGCGGTTTTAATCTCGTGTCGTGGCATCAAGTTTGTCGATTCTCAGCGCTTTGTCTTTCTTCTGTATTTATGTATGGGTTTCCATATCTTATAACTGTCTCACCTTTTCTTAATTTCTGGCATGACATCAATATGTGTGGGTTTCCATGTATTAATTTTAAAATAAAAACAAGGAACTCTGCTATGGTTTCCTCTGAATATGTATCTTTTTATAAACTTAAGATCGTGGTTGAAAGTTTGATTAGACTATATATGTGGAAAATGTTGTTGCAGGGGTGCTTCACTTTGCTCTGGTGATCTTCACCCTGATGTGGTTCTTTATCAGGAACAGCGTCTAAAGGCTGATAAAAAAGCATACTACTCCGAGTTACAAGATTATCATAATGAGTATGGCAGACTTCTCTGATTTTGTCTCAATATTTAACTATGTAGTTAGGCGATGTGCGTGTCTTGTGTTAACAATATTTGCATTCTCTGATTTTGTCTCAATATTTAATTATGTAGTTTAGGCAATGTGCGTGTCTTGTGTTAACAATATTTGCATAATTTCTCTGTTTTCTGCCCGTGGCAGCATGATAACATATTTGCAGAAGTTGAAGGACACATGGGAAAGTAGCAAGGATCCAGAAAAGGAAGCTTTGCAGAAGATATGGAGGTATATACCTGCCGCATGCTGTACCTTGTGTGTAAATTCTGTGTATTATGTGCAAGTGAAGCAAGTCATTGTACTGGCTGAGTCATCTTCCTAAACGATTTCGCCTTTGTCATGACTAACTAGTCATTCCTAAAATGTATAAAATGTGATGCTCAATAGTCTAGTAATGGAATGAAGATTTTGATCCCATCATGTGCATTAAAGGGGAAAAACAATATTTGAACTGTAAAGTTGTGGAGTGACATGTCAGTTGGTGGAAACTTGAATTATGATTTCAACTGGACTTCTGAAGGTGGTCGGTAATTATTTGGGGATTTCTGTTATGTTTAAATTGCTAAATGTTTCAACTCACCTTATTATAATTAATTTGCTGACTTTGTTGTATCTAATGACATCAAACTGCCTTATTTGTTTTCCCTTGAAACTATCTGTGCACTTTATCCATTCTTGAATCAAGGGAAAACTTGAGGAGGAATCAAATTATGTATAATTTTCTTTCATGCTTTCCTAATTACACTTGCATGCACCATACTTTTTTATTACTTGACTTGTTCCTGCTTTTTATGGTTAAATGTGTATTTTTTTATGTTATTGTGTTGTTGCTTTGTTTGGAATGGATTGGAGTTAAGGTTTTAATTCATTGAATTACTCATTTGATTTCAAAGAGTTTATGCAGCAACTTCTTCTTATCGTGAAGTTCTTTTATCAAGTTATTGAAGCTGTTTGATTTCTTAATATGATAGTTTTTATCTCATTCGGACATTATTATTTTTCTTTTTGTAAGGAGGCCAAGAAGTGATGCAGATAAAAGAATTTCCCTTTGCGACAACGAGTCTAAATTTTATGACCTTGGGGAGAATGTGGTGGCAACATCCGAATCCTGCTCCTTGGTTGCAGAGGAGAAAGCATCCAGCAGCGATAATCAGAACTCTCCTGTAACAAAGGGTGGAGAGGTTCCAAAAAGGTAGTTGAGCTTTCCTCGGCAAGTCTTCCTGACCATGCACTTGATTGTAGTTGCTTTCAGTTTTCCAAGGTTTATTTAAGTGAGGTTTTGTCATTTTCCAAAACAGTTGTATGCACCCCTTTGATGAGTGAAATTTAATTTGAAAACTTAGTCTTATTTCTTTCATTAGAGATCCCTGCTTGTAAAGGATCAATAGTGCTTATGTGGTGTCCATCAATCTTTAATAGATAAGCATTGTAAGATACGAGCACAAAAAAAAAAAAAAAAAAAAAGGTAAAAAAATCTCTCTTTTATTTTTAGATATCTTGCTTTACAGAGCTTCCCAAAATTTGAAAGGATAACCAAAATCTGAACTCTGTTTGAGGGTCAGTACTAGTTTCCTGTATCACCCACCACCAGAATTAATCAATTAGCTGATTTGGTATGAGACAAATCTCTTCTGATTTACTATCTTCTTGTAACCTTTTTAAAGAAGCCCGGGCTATACCTCTACAGGCTCACGTTGGAACCCTGTTTTGATTATCATGATTGTTGCAAAAATTGGCATCATTATATTCTTTCTTGGAGGGTGGAGAACTAAAGTTTTCTGTATGCTTATTCTTGTGCTTTCTGTTCTCGTGTAAAATTCATACTATTCCTCCTTCAACAACACCTTCCTTCAAAGCAAGCAAATAACAAATTGTGCTGCCTTTAGCTCATGTATTTGATTTTGTACAGTATCGGTTGGTTCGATGCAGACATTCTGGGGTTAATATCTTTTTATTTTTTAAAATGCTATTCTGAACATTATTTTTCATTTCTCCCTTTATGGTGCAACATAACGTACTATCTTCAGTTGGTTGCAATTTGCAGTAGACTTGCCTCTTTTCCAAAAAATAATTACACAATGGGCTGGAGATTTTTTAGATTTGATCTTGCACCATTTATGCTGCATTCCCTGCACAATTGTGTAAAATCTCACTAGTTGCCTTTGGTGTCAGGATTTGTGAGAAAGGCTTCATGAAGAAGAAATGTAGAAAGCCATTGGTTGCTTCAGATGATGCAAGACCCGGAAAAGGAGACAACCTACACAAGCTCAATATCCACCATAGTGATGGTGCCAAATATATGTCATACTTAAAGGTTAGGTGTCTTTTGGTATTTCTTAGTTTGTATGCAGTACTTTAGTATATATTCTTTACCTAAATGGCAGGATTCGTCCATCATAAAATTCTCCTGTTTGCCAAGTCTTATGCATGTACCCTTTTCTTCCTGCATGCTTTGGTGACTACCATAAGCACTGCTTACCTAATGTAGTATCCCTCACCATAAGCACTGCTTACCTAAAGTAGTATCCTGATCAAATGATAATGAACTTTCACTCTTTCTTTTGCTGATAATCTGCATTTGATATCAGATAAGCAAGAAGCAGCACCAACTTGTTAAGAGCATGAAGCAGTCTGGTAAAAGCATTCAATCCAATTCTCTTAACGGTGTTTTAGGTGACTTTGATACTTTGCATGTACAACCATATGAAGAATTTGTGAAAGAGGAACATAAGAAGTTGCAGGAACATTGGTTAGTTGTATATTGTTGGACCGCACTCTTTTTTTTTATTGACACAAAAATGTTTGATTTCATCCCCCTCAAAATAGGATTTTCTTTTACGTAGGATGCAATTGGCAAACAAAGATCTTCCTGCAGCATATGCAATCTGGAGAGAAAGACAGTTTCAGAGACGGGAGATAACCAAATCTTTGGAGGAAGAGATGGAAGGTCAACTAAAATATCCAGTGGAGGTCTGATATTCTGGCCTTGTATATTTTTCCTTTTCTCCCTGCACCTGTGGGCTCTTATCATTTTCTTGTATGTCCATTACAGCAGAAATTGTGTGACAGTGAATTATTAGAAATCTTCCTTGTTCTATATTTAACTTGTTTGGTTCCTGAACCAGTATCTAGAGAAAGATGGCCATGCGTTTCAGCTTCAGGATCAGAGTGATCAAGGCGCAAACCAAAATGAGACTAATGCGGAGGTTTAATTTTCTGTCCTTATAACATTTCCCCCTTTTTTTTTGCGCTGTGTTCGGTTATCTAGCTACTATCATCTGCTGACCAACAGAACCTGTTTAGCCCAATTCTCTTTGTTGTGTGATTGTAGAAATCTTGTATAGTTGATTCTAAGTTTGACTTTTTATCATTGGTTTTTCAGGATAAGCAGGAACATAACCACGAGATTTTGCTTCGGGATCAGAATGATCATGAAGTAGGAATCCAAGAATCCAACATTTCTGACAATGAAGATTCTGTAGCTGACTGCCCACATGATCAGTCTCTGCAGCATATTTCCTCCCTTTCTGTTGGCCAGGATCTTAACCCTATAGATATGAATACGGAAAATGGTCATGTCCATTTGAACTCTGATTCAGATGAAGCTTCTCCACATGTATCCGAGTACTCAGGGAGCATGCATGTCGCAGATGCTTCCATTGATCAGGGAGTTCCCATCTCTTCTGGTGGAGATGTCTGGTCAGCAGTTAGCATACCCAATTCATATTATAATTCTACTGCAAACAATGAATACACATCTAGTGGTATATTGTCACTGCCACACCAAGTTAATGAAGAACAACGCTCTCAGTTGATTGATTTGGAATCTGAAGTGCATGAAGAAGACACTGGGAAAGCTTTGTTGCACAGACAGTCTGATGATGGTTCTTTCAGTTCTTATCCAAACCATGATCGTAGTGGGTTGCTTCAATCTTTGTTCAAAGGTCAGGTAATGTTGCCCTACCATAATGAACAAAAACAAACAGGGTTAGATTTTCAATCACCAAATGATGTTCTAATGCAAGATGGTCAGTATACCGGGCATCTCCAGGGGCAGCTTCAGCCCTCGCTGTCACTTGAACAGGGACAGAAGAGGCACACTGAGGATTACATGCAACAAAATATATCAGAGGACATTTATTCTGAGGGAGGAGGATTCTTGATTCCAAGACAAGGACCTGCACCACCAGTCAATCTGCAAGACTGGAATGTTAATCCTGTTCGCATGCCAGCACGGCTCCAATCCCATCTGAATGATGATGGCTTGTTAACCCAGAACTGGTTCTCCAGGGAGCATCAAGTTCGTGGGGACTGGACTGGTGCAGGTGGTGCTAGTGTCTCAAACCAGAGCATTGGAAGTAATGCAGATCAAAGCCTATTTAGTGTTCTATCCCAGTGTAACCAACTGAATACTAGAAGCCCCATTAACCAATTACGTTCTGGTAGCCCCATCAATCAGCGTCCAAATGGTGCCTTTGATTCAGCGGGCTCTGCTGAGCAGTTTGTGTTGCCGAGGAACTATGGTATGGTGAGTGGCGTTACCCCCAGGATCAGTAATGCTTTACCACAAGCTGCTCATCCACTTGACTACTTTAGTGGGCGTGACTCTGCTAGTTCCCTGATGCCTGATGATATGGGATGGATGCCTTTGCCACAGAATTCTGCTTTACATGATCCAATGGGGAAACCGTACTTAAGGTCGTGGAATCAGTGAATATTCCCTCCCCCCTCCCCCCACTCTCTCTCATTTTTGGTAGGTGAAGTTCAAGGTTCCGATCATGAGAAGAAATGCCAAATACAAGATGCCTTCATAGGACATCGTGACTTGTTATATTTATAGGTTGTGGGAAAGAGACTTTTGAGCTTAATGCAAAATTTGCAGAAGTGCAGAAGCTCGATATTAATTTCGAGATAGGTTTTTGTACATACTTTATACGAGAGCCAATTCAAACCCCATGTAAATATCCAGATGTTAGATAGGCAGGTGAGAGCAAAGATAAGGAAGGATCGAAAAAGATTCTGATATCTTCTATCTGGTAGGTAAGTTACACACTGCATTTTTGTTTCCAGTCGCATTTTTTTCCTTTGTTGACCGAGAAACATTTTTGAATAATTTTGGAGGCTATAAATTGCTTAAGGCTCTCACATCATTGCTTTTTATTTACCGGTTTATTCTTTTATTTCTTGCAATCCCTGTTAAACAAAAATACTTCCAAGAATTTGTGCAATGTACAAGATTCTGAGCGTTCGTTTTGGGAGAAGCTGTATAATAATCTTTTTATTGTAACATACAGACAAATTTTAGGCAGCATGAGTCATTTAGCTACTTCCAGGATAATTCAAGTAGATAACCCCTGAACTTGGTGTTGATGCCACCAGCAGCAGAACAGAGATTTTATTCACTAGGAAAAATTGAAATACATGACTGAACCTCTTTTTTTTAAGACTAAATCTTTTTGCTTTGCGATGGATAGTCAAGCATGACGGGTAACTTCTCTTTACAACTTGGGGGATCTACATTTTGTGGTTGATCAACTCTCTGATTGCATGTTTCAGGGCGACTCCCTTGTTGGTGTCATGACCAGCCATTCGGCGGCAGGTTACAATTAGGAATGACGGAACTAAATGTCCCCACAGATTAAAAGGGAAGAGTGTCTCGTCCCAGGAAAAAACTCAATACTCGATTACGAACATATAAGCATATTGTTTTTGGTGTATTTAATCTTTTAAAATGGATGAGGTACAATGTTTTTGAAGTTTTCATGGAATCAAAATTAATTTTAAACAGTATTCAATTTTATAATTTCTCGTAAAATAAAAACATATTTGTTAATTTTCAGGACACATGTCAGTATTAGATACGCTTCGAGGGTACGAGTTAAAACCGTTTATTTTTAACTGACGAAGGATGCAATGAAAACAGTAACACAACGAGTACAGTAAAAGGACGAAACTAAAACAAAAAATTAGAAAATGAATCGTTAAAAAACACAAGATAAAAAATACACAGACGAACATAAGCTTAAATGATAGAAATCAATCAATCAAAAGCTTGGTTGCCGTTTGCCGACAGCCACTTCATTGATTGCTTCTACCACAAGACTACAAGTTAGGAGCAAAACAGGACAAACAAGCACCAGCCGACAGTCATACTTATCTAAAAGGGAGGGTTTTACGCAGCATTAGTCTCTATACTCTTTAAATTGTTTCAATTGAGTCCTTCTAGTAGAAGAAGATAAGAAAATCAGAAAACGAAAATTTCCCTCCTAAGAGGACGGGGAGGTTACGGCATAGCTGGTGAAGGAGAACGAGAAGTTAATGGATCACACAAAGTGAAGTGAGTGAGAGAAAGGAAGGAAGAAAGAAAGAAACTGGTATATTAATTATCAAAACTGAAAGAAACCCAAACAAACCAACCCCTCAAATCCCTTCTTGTTTTTCTCTTTTTTGATTCCAAAGCCAAAGCCAAAGCCAAAACCAAGGAAAAAAAAAGATGAAAACCCTTTTCTTTGTTTTTATGCATAGGATCTCCTTAGCTTCACACTACCTTTCATTCTAAAACACCCATACAAAGACTTGTAATTTATATATATATATATAGGTAGAGAGAGCGAGGTGGGGGAGAGAAAAAGGCAGGCTTTTAAGAAGAATTGGATTTGTTTGTTTTTGAGGGAGAAATGCAGAGCAAGAAGAAAGAGGTGATAAGATTGGAAAGGGAATCAGTAATTCCTATTCTGAAACCAAAGCTGATCATGACCTTGGCCAACCTCATTGGTATGTTTCATCTTTTTCCTTAATTTCTTTCCTTTTTCTTTATATACATTTGAAATAGAATTATGGCTTGCCTTTGTTTTCTCAAATTTCTAATAATTGGGCCCATTAAATCAGATGTCAGTTTGTTTCTAATGCAAATGCGAATGCCAAAGAAAGCCAATGTGAATCTGTTTTCTGTTTAATTTAATTTGAACAGGAAGAAGCCTTTGGCTCAGCCTTTGCAGTAACAATTGTATGATTGAGTCTTTGAACATTTTTGCAGAACATGGTACTGACAGGGCTGAGTTTCTAAAACTATGTAAGAGAGTTGAGTACACCATACGAGCTTGGTATCTTCTGCAGTTTGAAGATTTGATGGTACTGGTTATTCTTTCATTGTTTTTATTCAAACTATGTATTGCAGTAACTTTATCGAATCAAGATGTTTTCCGCTTTTTTATTGTGTCTCCAGCAACTGTATTCTCTCTTTGACCCTGTGTCTGGGGCTAAGAAATTGGAGCAGCAGAACCTATCTCCCTCTGAAATTGATGTACTTGAACAGAATTTCCTGACGTACTTGTTTCAGGTATTGCACCTGTTTCTTCATGTCTTCTTTTATGTTTTAGGCCAGGTGCGTGGGTGAGTTTGGATATGCACGGAATAAAAACAACTAACACTGTCATAAGAAAACGGATATTAAAGTGTAGTGAAGGTCAAGAAGGGAATACTAATGGCCTTTTTGTAAAAAAAGCTCGAGCATTTTTGCAACTTTAAACTACAACAAATTGAAGAGAGTCAATCCAGTTGTTAAATAAGGCATAGCTAAGAATTAAATCAAAATGGGAACAAGTCCCTGTTAACTCTTATTTTTCCTACTTGTTTTATAAAAGGTGATGGATAAGAGCAACTTCAAGATAACAACTGATGAGGAGATTGATGTTGCACTCTCAGGACAATATCTTCTAAATCTTCCAATCAAAGTTGATGAGTCCAAGGTTTGTGATCACATGCCTTAAAAATAATTTCATTTTGAAAAGATGCATGTATGTTTTAACATTTTTTTTTTTTTATGTTCCATGTATATCTTCATGCATCTTCAAATTTTCCTGTTCCGCTATCCTTTTTTTATTTTTTGTTGTGCAGCTTGACAAGAAACTTTTGAAGAAGTACTTTGATGATCATCCTCATGAAAACCTCCCAGACTTTGCTGATAAGGTATTGCACTAAATTGAACATAAACAATGCTAATCATCTGAAAACCATCTGTACATGACTGCTTCTGTGGGTATCAATCAACACAAAGTTTCCCTGTTCTTGTGTTTGGGAGATGGGGGAAGCAGGGAAGAATTTGATAACTGCCATCTCCAGTTATCTGATCTCTTTGAGCTATTGTTTCTGTTTGTTGGTTATCTAATAATAGCATTGCTTTGCATGTGTCCTTATCTGTTGGTAGCCTCTTGACGCCTGGGCAGCATGTGAAATGGTTGGCTCCTGGTCACATGTCAAAGCCATCAAAAAGCACCCAAAAAACTGAAAAACACTTTGGATAAGCACTAGCAATCACATTACCAAACCCCCCTGAGGCTTGCATGCAATTTGATTCTATACATATGCCATTGCAACTTCTAAATTTCTTTGGTTTTCTGTATTAGGACTTGCACTTTGCACTTCACGTCAATTTAAGAAATAATTGATGCAAACTGTGAAAGTTTGAGGTTAACCAATATTTCTAAGTCTTATAAAAGTTTCAAAAGATCTGAATCAGTTTTGGATCACTATACCATGAAGAGGGATGCCATTACTTTCACTATTATATTCACGCTTAATGCTCCATTTTGCTCAAGTTTGGGTCACTATCATCCTGGAACTTTGCCTAAACCAATTAACTTGGCATTCCAGCCATGACTTATTGAAGCAACTTTCTAAATTCTAACACCGTTATCCAAATGGAGCATAATTTTGTAATTAATTTGTTTGTTGTCTTGAGTGGTGAAATAAAACATAGTTATAAGACAGTGTCAGTTGTAAGTGTCCAAATCTCTTGTTCTCTGCTTCTGCCATATTGTCCTGTTTTCTTTTCAATGAGAAAAGGAAAGTTGCTGCTTTTGGGACCGAAGCCTGTTTCCTTGCCTTGCATAATGCTAGATCAGATGGAACTGTTGGTTGGATCTCTTGTTCTCCACTTTTTGTGAAATGAATCATCTTCCTTCTGAAATGCTAATAGCTCAGACAAAAGTGAGTCATACTGTAACTAAAAAATATCTAAAGCAATTTCAGTTTCAAGGATACCTTTTGTTTATCTACATATGTATTTGGTAAATTTTAGATTCAAAGATCTCTGTTCCTTAATTTTATTTTTGCTTATCCTCAAATAGTTCATTTCAACTTGTTTGGGTCTTTAAGAAGGTAATGGCTTTGATGGGTAACGTAGGTCAGTGAATTTGACTTCAGTTTTTCTTGATAACTAGAACCTTGATGATTGATGCATGCTCAGCCACACGACCAATTTTGACCTATGTGATGCAATAAATCCCATGATGTTGATGACGCTGTCCCTTGTTATTGTGGTTCAATGCTCTTTAGTGAATGGACATGGATTAAAGGAAGTGCAGATAGGTCTTTGAGTGATGGATACAACACTTATGATAGATATTGATTTTTCTTTTCTTATTAAATCCCACTCAAGGAAACTAATCTTTATTATCACTTGTTTTTAGTATGTTATCTTTCGGCGTGGGATTGGACTTGATAAAACAACTGATTATTTTGTCATGGAGAAAGTGGACATGCTCATTGGACGGTTTTGGGCATTTCTTTTAAGAGTAACTCGGTAAGCAATTTCCTGTCCATGGTGTAAAAAATTCGTTGTACTAAGATAATTTGCATATGAATTTAAAAAAGATCATTTTCTTGACAAGCTTAAAATGGTAATCAGCAGCACTATTGATCAAATAACATGGACATGCAATTATTTGCCATTAACGTTCCTAAACTTGATGTGACTGATTAAAAAGGGACATTTTGCATGTAAATTACTTTCGATGCAGATACTGCTCCCTTCATGCTTGACAATTTAAACTGTTTTATGCGTTCCTCTTTTCTTTTTTCTTTTTTAATTCTTTCTGGGTTTATGGTGCTACAGGCTAGAAAAATTTTTTGCAAGAAAGTCAAGTCGACAGCGTAAGAAAGATGTAAAGAAGAATGATGACCTTAACTCTGAAGCAGATCAGGATGATTTATATGTCGAAAGAATTCGACTGGAAAAATTGGATATAAGGTTGTGTGATGTTTTTCCATATAAATTTCTCCGTCTCTCTCTTCCACACTCATGAACAGAAGTTTAAGAAAAGTGAAACTAAATGATCAGCACTTAGGACAGTCTATTACATCTTTTTCTGCAACATGTTTTTTAGAAATCTCTTTATTGTCTTAAATGTCGCTCGATGTCAATGTAAATTACAATTTGGTTCTGCAAGAATACCATAGTTGAGGCAAAAATAACATTCTGGTCAAGATGCTGGAATTTAAGCAAAGGTTAGAACCTTGAAAATCTGACACCAGATCTGTGTCTTTTTTTATGGGACCAAGTTAATTGTGGTTATATTTATATTATCTAATCAGTTATTATTGTCTTTTGTTGGGATAAAGTGGGAAAAAATTGTTATAATGAATGACAAAAGTCATGTATTAAAGTATCACACACACATAATGACACAAACACCTGAGAAGTATGTTCTTGTTTAAGTTGCATGTATTGTATCTCTTGTGGTTATCTTATGTCATGACATTCCTACTTCTACTTTGTCTTCTCCAGTGTCAAAAATTTGCTGAGCAAGACTACAATACAAGAACCTACATTTGATAGGATCATAGTCGTTTACAGGTACTGCTAGTGGATCCAATCCTTCCTTCCAATCTTTCATCCTTCCAAGCTAACATGCATTGTACTGGGAACAATACAAAAATTTAGTAGACAATTCAAGAAGGTTTAGTGACCACAACTTGATTAAGAGAAAAGTTGCAATTTTATTAAAAAAGGCAATGGATTGCCTAAAAGATCAATAAGCCATTTTAAAAGCATGCACTATAAAAATAAATTACTTAAGAAAAAAAATAGTATTAAACTTTAATTGTGCAAGGTAATTCTTATTTTATCTTTTGAGTAACGTGGAAACTAACACTCACTAATTGCGTGATGCTTATTTACCAGGAAAGTATTCCCAAATCATGGTAATGTGGTTTACCACATGTCATTCATGGAATAGAGTAGCTATTAAAGCACAAGTAACAAAAGTAAAGTTAGGATCTGTAGCATTAATTTTCTTTTCTTGACATATAAAATGTCAAGGATTCCCTTAATGTTTCTTATTATAGGATCTAAATAAATCACAACAACACTGTGGAGTGCAAGTGGAAGCAAAGCTTTAGGGAGTATTTAGTATGACGGCATTTGAGATTCCAGGGGATAGGCAACATTCCTGTATGTGGAATGCTGATGAATGTTAAATTCCCAGGAACCTAATATTCCTAGGTATGTCATATTCCCTTCTAAGGGGGCTATGTGATTCCCTAGCTCAACGAGCTGAATCACATTCCCTCCAGTTGGGAATGTTATTTTGGGATTAGTTGATATAAACACCCTTTATATTTTTTTATTAGTTGGACTAAAATATCCGCAATAATAATGACAAGCATTAGCAAAATTTGTATAAGAGAATATTATTCTTACACTTCCATTTATATACTATTTATGACTCTAGTTGCTAAACACAATCCAATGCCTTTCACATATTTAGGACAAGTTTTGTAGATTTTAACAACTTGAATGTTTAACAAATTCAATTAATATAATATGTAATTGTTGTTTTCATAATTATTTATAAGAAAATCAAATACCAATATGCACAATTTAAGATATTTTGAGAGTAAAATAGTGCCTTCTTTTTTTTTTTCTTTTTGTGTATTCCATACGAATTCTCAAGATGAACAAACATGGTACCAGGAACTTTCATTGTTAAACAGACACAAACATCAAATTCCAAGCAATTGCATTCTGGGGGATGTGATTCTGGGGAGGCATCTAACATTCCGGTTACCAAATGCCCTCTAAAGGGTTTTTTTTTTTTGGCTCTTTCATTCATTGTTACTTCACATGTTTTTTTATCATTGTTTCTGAGAAATATTATTGTAAACAATGTCTTGCATGGTTTTATTCTTACACATTTGTCAGAGTTCACTCTGATCGCAAGGTTGAGCATATTATGGTGTTGATTTTATTCGCAAAGAATGGTCCTTTGACTTGAAGTTGAGGAGCCTCTAACCCTGAGATACAATACATATTGCCTAAAGCTGTTTTGGTACTCATGAGCTAAATAGATTGTCACTCTGATTTTATTTCATTTGATCTGTTGGGAGAGTGAGATGGAATCACTGAACTTGTTCTTTGAATCATTCTGCATAGAAACCAATTCTGAAATGATCATGATACCTAATTTATTGGCATGAATGACAATTTTCCAGGCGAGCAACTGCAAAATCAAATACAGACCGAGGGATATATGTGAAACATTTCAAAAACATTCCAATGGCTGATTTGGAAATAGTTCTGGTGAGATTTTTCACTGCTTTCTGCTTCTCTTTTATTTTCTAGTATCTATTTGTTGCCCCATAGTCAAGTGTCCACTTTTGACTTCATGTTGAAACTTTATTTGCTTTTACAACAGCCTGAAAAGAAAAACCCTGGGTTAACTCCAATGGACTGGGTCAAGTTCCTGATTTCTGCTGTAGTTGGGCTGGTTAGTTTTATGATAAAGCTGCTTCAGTAGACTGCACTTTGGCTTTCAATAATTTTGTTCTAATAACCTTAACATGCCTTTCTTTGCAGGCTGCTGTAATTAGTTCAGTCGAAATGCCCAAGGCTGATATTTGGGTCATTGTTGCTGTCCTTTCCACAGTTGTTGGTTACTGTGCTAAAACATACTTCACGTTAAGTCTCTATTTCTCTCTCTCTAATTACTTTTTTCACCATTTTGAATTCCTTGAATATCATAGCATGTTGTTAGTTTAGAACAATGTTTCCACATTGTTTGTCTCATGGCGTGCTCTTTCATGATTTAAATCTTCTTTCCATCCTTTGTTTTTTAATAACTGATGTGGCTATTGTTTTTTCAACTATCTGCAGGTTTCAGCAAAATTTGGTTGCATATCAGAACTTAATAACACAGTCGATGTATGATAAACAACTAGATAGTGGAAGGGGTACTCTTCTTCACCTGTGTGATGATGTGATTCAACAGGAAGTGAGTTTCAAGCTTCTTGTTTTCTTTTCTTGTTACCATACAATAGTTTTATTTTATTTATTTATTTTTTTTGTTCTTTGCAATAAATTAACGTGTATGATGGTTCTGCTAACTTCCAAAGGAGATAGCTGTAATTATTCATACAATGTAGTTGACTTATTAATCTGTTTTCTGGTTATCCCTTTGAAATAATATTTCTTGTTCGGGTGAGGAGTTTGGGAGAGGTGGGTGAGGGAAAGGAGTGCTGGCTGGAGATTCAGTTGGTAATCAAGATTCAAACTATAGCCTTTTCTTTTACAAATTCTCAAGTTTTTCATATGCATGGGCTGCTTTAGTACGAGGAGATTATATTGATACAATTGCCTTCATCGATCAGGCTTCTTGAAAATTTCACTTGTGTTTCATATTCACTCATTTCAGATTTTGAGCATGTTTCTTGAGCATCACATATAGAGATCTAGACGTCTTCTTTATGAATGTAGATGAAAGAAGACGCCAAACTATTTTTGTACGTTTGTGCAAATTCGATGCTGAAGAGAATATTGTCAACCTGTGAACCCCACTTTTGAAAGGGAGGGAGAATATACTCCAGAAATATTTGAGCAATTGCTCCTTAAGATATGTATGAAGTACTCAGTGTCTTATTCGTGAACAAATAAATATTCACGATTGGGGATTGTCTTATAGTAAATTTAGACTAACAGATGCTTAAATTAACTCGTTTTTCAGGTTAAAGAGGTTATTATTTCCTTCTTTACATTGATGGAACAGGGCAAAGCTACTAGGCAGGTACGAACCACTTCTTTCCCTTTCTATTTGTTTATTGCTCTTGATCATTGGGGGACAGAATCTTCCTTGCACCATTTTTTAAGGCATAACTTTCTTATACTGTGAAACAGGATTTGGATTTGCGCTGTGAGGAACTAATTAAAGAAGAGTTTGGTGAGAGCTGTAATTTTGATGTGGATGATGCAGTTGAAAAGTTAGAGAAGCTGGGCATCGTTGCTCGGGTAAGAAACACTTCTTCTGACTGAATTTGGTGGATCTGAATTGGAGTTTGCAGTTTTATAATTGCTAAAATGAATAATTTTCCTTACACATGCTTACAACTGATGCTGATATCGTTCCACATATAGACATCCAAAAAGGACCAGTTGGATGAGCAGGCATTTCTGCATCATCTAAATAAGTTGTTAAAAGCTTCTGTTACCCAAGTATTTCAATTTGTTGTGCCTGCAAAGGTTTTCCATTGCGTGATACTAAAACATAGGACTGCAGGGAATCGGACCTATATATCTGAAAGACGATTTCAATTTGTTGAGCCTGCAAATGGTTTCCATTGCGTGATACTAAAACATAGGACTGCAGGGAAATGGACCTATATATCTGAAAGATGATTGGATTAGAAGTTAAACGGGCGTTTGGTTAAGCATTGAACTGGATGGGAGACACTGCTTCTGAAACCATGGACACTAACAATGTTGCATCTAGAATTTTTTTGAATTTTGCAAAGATATTGTTATGGAATAAAACTAGTATTTGGACTAGGCATGAATTCCTATGCTATCTTCTTTGTGCGCAAGTTGTTATTGGTTTCTTCTGATTGGGAATTTGAATGCAGGATTCTCTCGGACGATATTTTTGTGTTGGGCTAAAACGTGCTAATGAGATTATTGGCACCACAACTGAAGAGCTCGTCCTCAAGGCAAAGCACGGTGTTATTACTAGTTCTTGATACTGTCTGCGGAAGGGGTTTTCTTCTCCACCATATCTGTTTCAATCCAGCCTCTTTCCAGGTCTAATAGCTCAAATAGTTGCAGTTGACAGCTGTGTTTACAAGCATCTCTGGACACATCTTGGATGCCCTATTTCACTTTATTGCTTTCTGTACTATTTTGAGCTCCAGTTCTTTTTCCCTTTCATTCATAGTAGTCAGAGACTCGAACCAAAGACCTCTTCTGGGGAAGGAGGGCATGGGGAGCCATGGGCGCTTCAGTTCTGTTAATACATGTAAATCTTGAATGCATGCGACTTTTCAAATCTCACTTGATTTCGGCATTTGATGAAGGCTTTTTATATTGCTCATAAAATCAATGTGGGCTTAAATACTCTTATTGTGTGCATATATTGGAAGTGAAAGATGAATGAATTTTTTTTTCCCCCATAGTCTTTGCTTTTATCTACGTTTGGGTATTGTTGGAAAACCTCTGAATTTGTCATAAAATTCGTCATCAGTTGATCTGAAACAGAAAATATTTTGAAAACAACACAAAAAAAAAGAAAAAGAAAAAGAAATAAAGAATAACGTTAGAGTTAGAAATGAGTGATGCAACAAATATAATGCAAAATCCTGTCACAAAACTGAGAGTTTGTAGCACTTGTTAGTTGATACTAAATCCGGTAATAATAATTTACCAATCTCTAAAATAAATGGGACAAGTGGCGTGTAATCATTTTCCTGTCGAAGAGAGCGGGCATTGGCATCCATTCCTCTAACGGTCAACCTCTTTGAAGATATATAATAATTAATTAAGACATTTGTTTAGCAAATAAAATATTATTTATTCATAATCATAATGAGGAAGAAGAAAAAGAAAGACATAATACACTTGGAGAAGGAATATGTGATTCTAATTCTCAAGCAAGCTTATTGCTGCCTTAGCAAACCGAATTAATAGTACTAGTGTCTTTAATTTAAAAATTCCCATCATTTTTAATCTTTTTTCAGATACATCAATGCATGCATACATTGATTTTAATTTTAGGTTGGCTCATCCACAAAATGTAGCAGATCTGATTGTGATGAATTCCTAAAGCTCTGTCAGAAAGTTGAATACACAATTAGATCTTGGTACCTTCTGCAATTTGAGGATCTCATGGTAATAAATATTAGTCTACATGTTATAGGAAACAAATCTTTTTTTTTATTTTGAAAGCAACATAAAAAAAAATAATAATAAAGAATAACGTTAGAGTTAGAAATTAATAATGTAACAAACATGATGCAAAATCTTGTTACAAAACTAAAAGTTTGGAGCAGTTGTTAGTTGTTACTAAATCCGGTAATAATAATTTACCAATCCCCAAAATAATAATTTTCCCATCGAAGAGAGCGGCCATTGGGGAATGTCAACCTCTTTGAACATATATAATAATTAATTAAGGCATTTGTTTGGCAAATAAAATATTCTTTATCCATAATCATAATCATAATGGGAAAGAAGAAGAAGAAGAAAGATATAATACACTTAGAGAAGGAATCTGTGATTCCAATTCTCAAGCACAAGCTTATTGCTGCCTTAGCAAGCCATATTAATAGTACTGGTGTTTTAATTTAAAAATTCCCATCATTTTTAATCTTTTTTTCAGTTACATCAATGGATGCAAACATTGATTCTAATTTTGGGTTGGTTCATCCACAGAATGTAGCAGATCTGATTGTGATGAATTCCTAAAGTTCTGCCAGAAAGTTGAATACACAATTAGAGCCTGGTACCTTCTGCAATTTGAGGATCTCATGGTAATAAATATTAAGCTATATGTTATAGGAAACAAATCTTTGTTTTTATTTTATTTTTTAAGGAATTTGGTTGTTTTCTTCGGTGATGATCAGCAATTGTATTCCTTCTTCGAGCCTATTCATGGTGCTAGAAAATTGGAGCAGCAGAATCTCACTCCTGAAGAAATCGATGCTTTTGAGCAGAATTTCTTAACCTCTTTATTTCAGGTATATATTTCTGCTTAATTCCTGAACTACAATTCATAAATTTAAAAACTAAAACAGGAAACGGCAACGATACCAAACCTGCGTCCATATATACCAGCTTTACTTTCCCACTTCTTTATAGGAAAGAAAAAAAATGTAAAAAACGTAACCAATACTTGAATCTAGTAATTTTCTTTTGCAGGTGATGGAAAAGAGTAATTTCAAAATAGCTACTGATGAGGAGATTGAAGTTGCACTCTCTGCACAATATCGTCTTAATCTACCAATTGTAGTTGATGAACATAAGGTCTGTCCGTGCTCCGGCCTCCTATCTATAAATATATATTCATCCTCCCATTGTTTCTTTAGAAGTTTGGTGATATACTGGCATTCTTGAATGCAGCTTGACAAGAGGCTTTTTTCAAGGTACTTTGCGAAGCATCCCCATGATAACCTTCCATACTTTGCTGATAAGGTAAATGCTAAAATCCAGCTTGAATATTGCTGATAACGCTCTTTTTTCCTTTAAATATTTATGTTTGATAATTTCATTTCTTGAGTCAAGGCAATTTATCCCCACAATCCCATGACAAAGTAACATTATTTATTTTTCTGTAGTTCATAATCTTCCGACGTGGTTTTGGAATTGATCAGTTGAATAGTTACTTTATCATGCCGAAAATAAATACCATCATTGCCCGTTTCTGGAGATGTTTTCTGAAAGTAACCGGGTAAGTAGATGTTTCCTTGTAATATTAATTTGTAACTAAACATTGATTTTCAAGCTTGGTTCTTTATTAGTTCTGACACGGCTTTCATTTTCTGGTTCCAGGTTAAGAAGACTTTTCTTCAGAAAGCCAAACGCACATATTAAGGAAGTTCCAAAATCTGTTGAAATCAGCATAGATGGAGGTGATGATGAAGGTTTATATGTTGAACGGATCCGCATTGAGAAAATGAAACTCAGGTTAAGTGTGAATTCGATTTATCAGTCGGTTTTTTGGGCAATATCTGAAGCAGTAACAGTATAAACATCTTAAATAATTCTGAGAAGCAAGAAGGAATATGCAACAGAAGCTACCTTAGGCTTATTTATTGTTCTATCATATATTCTCTTGGTAGTTATGTTCACATAGGAAGGCTCAAGGCACAGTAGCATCGTTTTCCTTAGTTTCCATGATTAAAAGTTGAAGTAAGGATTTCATTTCAGCTATACGCATTGATGGATATAATCAAATGCATTGTGACTGCTGAATCTTTTGAGTATTTAAATGAAGGGATGAATGCCCAGATCACCTGGAAGTAGCATATGTTTTGCTAAATTGGTTTCCTAGACTTCTGCTGATTCTTGCTGATCTTTAGCATTTATCTTCCTTTCCTGCAGTATATCTAATCTCCTGGGCAAGGTTACAATCCAAGAACCTACATTTGATCGAATAATTGTTGTTTACAGGTATTGATCTTTTCTTTCTCCACTTTTATTGGTTGATTTCTGAACAAAGGTCTGGATGGTTGTACAGAACCATACTTCCGAGTTACTAATAATCCATTTGTGCTGTTTCTCATTGCTGGTGTGAGGCTGAGAAGCAAGAAAGACAACATCATTCTCACCATAACTAGTAAATTAGGACTAGCATGAAAGGCTTGTTTATTCTAATTAGTTCGATTAATTTACGTTCTTCTATTACAGTTTTAAGAGACCATGAAGAATGAATCATTGTTGTTTAAAACCAACGTAAATCTGCAGGCGAGCGAGTACCAAAAAAGAAACAGGACGGAATATATATGTGAAGCATTTTAAGAATATTCCAATGGCTGATATGGAGATAGTACTTGTGAGTTTCCTGTTTACTTGCATTGCTGTTGTTATCATCATTGTCATTGTCGTCGTCGTATATTTATTTTATTTTATTTTTTGTGGTCGTGAGGGGCTACGAGCTTCTCAGAAATGTTTTTGAATACTGACCTAGAACTGGAACTTGTTTTTTTAACAGCCAGAAAAGAAAAATCCCGGTTTAACTCCAGTGGACTGGGTCAAGTTCATTGTCTCTGCTGTGATTGGACTGGTCAGTTTTAGCATATCCATGAAATTTAATGAGTACCCTTTTCTTTGTCTTAACCTTCTGGTCACATTAACCACCTGTTTTTTTTCTTTTTGCAGGTTACTGTAGTTAGTTCGCTTAGCAATCCTAAAGCTGACATCCGGGTGATTCTTGCTATCCTGACATCAGTGGTTGGATACTGCGTTAAAACATACTTCACGTTAAGTGTCTTCTTTAAAATCCTTGTCATTCTTATAGTAAGTAAGCAGTCAGTAAAAATGTTCTGTGCTGAGGCAATCCAACATCCGATCGGCATGGATGGGAATTTATTTAGAAGTGCTGTGACTGCTGTCCGTAATGCTTCTTGATATGCTTTACAGTGGGACATGCGGAGGGAGAGAGGGAAAATTCAAGAATGAATAGAGTGATCAACTGACTAGGAAATATCTGATGCAATTGGATCTATGCCATACATTCATACTAAGGCCATGAAAAATTTAGCTATGAAGGCTAACCTTTTTCAGTTTCCTGCAGATTCCAGAATAACTTGGTTTCATATCAGAGCTTAATCACAAAGTCTGTGTATGACAAACAACTGGACAGTGGAAGGGGTACTCTTCTTCACTTATGTGACGAAGTGATTCAACAGGAAGTGAGTTTTTGGCTAATCAATTTATAACTTATAACCATATTTACCAAGTCACAATCTCTATGCACCCATAAAATTTTCAATAACTTCGCTCTCAATGGCAATTGTACAGAACCAAAAACTTCTCATTTGGTCACCTTTCTTGGGCAAGGATAGCAGCATTCTTGATGAAAATTTACAATACTAACTAGTGGATTTGCAAAACAATGGTTAGGTACTTTATAATGCTAACAGAACCCAATAATCTGAATGTGCAGGTAAAAGAGGTGATTGTTTCATTCTTTATCTTGATGGTCCAAGGAAAAGCCACCAGACGGGTATATATAAAGTACCTTACAGTAGATGGTTTCCTCTCCTTTTATGATCTCTTATCTTGTGGGATTCTTTGGGGCATTGCTGGTTCATAACTTTGCATTGATCTGAAACAGGAACTTGACCAGCGTTGTGAAGAACTTATTACTGAAGAATTCAGTGAAAAATGTAATTTCGATGTGGATGATGCTATTCAGAAGTTAGAGAAGTTAGGTATTGTTGCTCAGGTAACCTTTTGATGCGTGTCAAATTAGTGGAGACATCGTACCATCAGTATGTTTCCCAGATATAATTTTTTGTAATTCAATGACTGACAAGATAAAGTTGAACTCAGGATCCTACTGGAAAGTACGCATGCACAGACCTGAAGCATGCTAATGAGATTATCGGCACCACAACGGAGGAGGTGGTGCTTAAAGCCAAACAAGGTGATGGCAGTTTTAGACATTGAGGTGCTCTTCTGATCTTTAAGAAATTTAGAGAATTGATGCAGTAGGACTAGACACTTGATTATTTGGCTCACAAGCATCTTCGTGCATGCTGAACTCAGATGCCAACTTTGGTGTAGTTTTTTCCTTGGGGAATTTAAATTTCCCTAGTCTGTTTATGTGCATAACTTCATTAATATGAATGCTCTTATTATTGGCATTAAAGAAAAAGGGAAATCAGTAATATCGATTAGTAGAAAATGCAATACCAGTCAGTCAAGTTTGAAGTGGAGCTTGAAATACCATACAATGCTATCTTCCAGTACAACGACCATACTGGTTAGGGTAGCCAGCAGCGGAAGCATGACTGTCTTCGGACAGTTTTCAATGTAGGTGAGGTGAATTGAATTGGCAAGACTGAAATGTGGTCAGCTTTTCTAAGCATGCTTGAATTTCCAGATTTCTTTAAATGATTATAAACAAGGGGGAAGAAAATATTTCAGCAACCGCACCACACCGAGCTATGTGTGCATAATTCATCACAAGGACTGATTTTAGTTGAATCCTAACCAACCACATGCTATCAATTAAATTATACTGATAGATTGCATCAAATGAACAAAAATAAAATAAAAGGCAATTCATTCCCACATCCTATGACCGTTCTGTGACGACAAGAACTCTGTACAATGCCCCAATTTGTGTACCTCTAATCAAAGTCGAAGATTTCGTATGCTTTACTACCTCAAAATGGTGTAGGTAATTCTGCCAAAAAAAAAAAAAAGAATTGTTTTCAACATGCTAAAGGGATGAAAATGTGGATCGTCCAAAATATTTTGCGTGCAGCAAATATTAAAGCAATGAGGTCAAGAACACCATACCCAAAATCAATTCTGGAGATGATCATTGAACCATTGCCAAGTAACAGAAGTTCCAGTAGAGTGTCACCTGTAAACAATCCAAACCAATTTCTCACGTGAGGTTTTTCTTAGATTTTAGTTCGCAAAAGACTTTGATGCATGCTCGGTAGAATCAGAAAATAAAGCAGATTGTTTGTCTTGAAATGTCATCATTACAAAAGGATTGGTTTGAAAACAAAACAGAATCCTGAGCACATAAGCATCAAGAAAGTGACTCACCTCAAGATATGTGTGAATTGTGATGCCCCACATCCCACAAAGGCGGGTTATGAGGATTTTTAATAGTATACAAAGAATGGCTTCAGGATCTACGTGCAACACTGAGTTGGCTTAAGCAAGTCCAGACAGTCTAGGATTCTAGAGGTGGTTCCCAGCCCCTCCAAGCGTGTAGACTTTCTCCCGATCCAGCTAGGTATAAGCAGATATCCTTTACCCCTCACCCTCCTGTATTGGAAGCTTGAGATGCTTTCAGGAATTTAGCTGTTTCATTTCTCGAGAACCTACTTCATAGATGGCAGCACTGAAAGTGAGTCGATCGTGCTTCAGGATTTTAGCTGTTTCAGTTTCTCGAGAACCTGCTTCATCCATGGCAGCACTGTTTGAAACCGAGTTTACTGTGCAGCTTAAAGCAAGCTTCAAGATTTTAGCTGTTTCAGTTTTTCAAGGACCTGTTTCATGGATGGGCGCACTGAAAGTGAGTCTACTGTACAGCTTGAAGCAAGCTTTAATATTCCCAACAACTTCTCATTAGGTCCTGCTTCCCACAGTTCTGGAGAGAAGAGCTCTGAAGAGCGTCCCTCCCTGATCAACAACTTGGCCCAAGCAACAATATTGAAACCGTTACCATATTCAGAAAATGATGGATCAAGGGACTTCTTCCCTGACATCAATTCTAACAGCACTACCCCAAAGCTGTAAACATCTGACTTGTCAGATACCCTGCACGTGGTTGCATATTCTGGTGCAACATACCCAAATGTGCCTGCTACATCTGTGGTGGCATGGGTCTGAGAAACTTCTAAAAGTTTGGCCAACCCAAAGTCTGACAGATAGGCGTTAAGCTCCTCATCCAACAGGATGTTACTAGGCTTGATGTCTCGATGAAGAATGCGGGGTACACATGAGTAGTGGAGGTAGGCTAGAGCTTGTGCAACGTCGAGAGCTATCTTGTAAATAACTGACCATTGTACATTTGCGTCTAACCTGTCATGTATGAAGGTTTCAAGGTTTCCACCAGAAAGATAGTTGTAAATTAAGAACATTTCAGCCTCTGCCACATAATACCCAATCAGAGTCACAAGGTTCTTGTGTCGAATTCTGCCCAATGTTCTGATCTCTGCATCAAACTGCTGAATGCCTTGAAATCTGCCGATGGAGAGCCTCTTTACTGCTATGAAGTAACCTGGGACCAATTCAGCTTTGTAAGTTGACCCAAAACCACCTGTACCTATCAGGTTTCTGATACTGAAATTCCCAGTAGCTCTGACCACACTATCGTAAGTCAATTCAGCCGGAGCATCTGCAAAAGTCACAACTACTTTCCCCTTTAAGCTAGAGAGTCTACTCCCTCTCAAGCAAGAGAGTGTACAAAATTTCCTCTTCCCATAAAAACTGAACAAAACTACTACCAATGTTACACAGAGTACAACTGAAGCAGAAGTTACCACTGCTATCAAAAAGGGTTTTTTCCTGTGATTGTGCCATTTTTCATCTCCATGTGACAGCTGAAACCCTCCAGGTGGTGTGTTAGAGGATAGATTAGAGCACTTATCCAAATAAGCATTCCCTCTAAACCACTCGCAATCAATTGGGTGTTGAAGTTGGTGTATATGACCAGAGAGGTTATTGAAAGAAACGTCAAGGACAATGAGACTGGAAATAGTCGAAAAAGGTGGAGGTATCTCCCCAGAAAGGCCATTGTTATTGAGCAACACAGTTTCAAGGTTCTTGGCGTTCGTCAAACTCGCAGGTATAGATCCTGTTACAGCATTATGAGAAAGATCCAAAACTGTAAGAGAGGACAATTGACCAAATTCAGATGGAATTTCTCCGGTTAAATTGTTCATTCCAAGAAGAAATGATTTCAGAAACTTCAAATTCCCCAACTCATTAGGGAGAGAACCAGAGAGTCTGTTTCCTCTCAAGTCAAAACATTGAAGCATTCTCAAATTGCCAATACTGGGAGACAGAAAACCACTAATCTCATTGTATGCTGCTTCAAATTCCCTTGTCTGTTGACAACTGAGAAGCATATCAGGTATCTCACCTGATAGTTGGTTCGCACTCAAGTTAACAGAGAAGCTCAGCAGATCATTACAGTTTGAAACGAGTTTACCAGGAAGAGACCCATTGAACCTGTTACTACTAAGAAACAATCTGTATGAAGTTCTGTTTTTGGTCACCAAGAATTCTTCTCCCACAGATAACAAGGGCAATGAACCGACGAATTGATTCCAACTGAAATCATGGACAATCATGAAGTCTGCACCAGGCATAGACCCCAAAAGGGTATTCATTTGAGAACCCCAAACAGGAATGTTAGAGTAGGCAATCTGTATATCCTCTATATCAAAAAAATTAGGATCTTGACCGTAAGAGATCATGCAAGTATCACAACTGCCCTTTCCAAAAGTTGGGACAGCACCGGATATGTTATTTTGACTAACATTGAAATACATCATGCAGGGAACTTGCAGCTGCATAGGCAGGCCTGTCAAATAATTAGAACTCAGATCCAAGAAAGTAAGGTTCTTGCACATCACCAGCCCCTCTGGCACAACACCTCTCAAAGAATTCTGCCCCAAATGCAAAGCTCTCAGCGCGCACGAATCACTCCAATTATCAGGCAACCGCCCATCAAGATTGGCCCTAGGCGCCCACAAAATCTGCAAACTTGGTAGCATCAACACCTCCTGAGGAATACCCCCTTCAAAAGCGTTGAATTCTAATCTAAAATCACCCAAGCTACCACTAGTCCTCCCATTATTACCAACAAAATTACTTGAATTAGTCAACACAAGAACAGACAGTTTCCGGCAATAACCCAACTCCTTGGGGATGGTCTGAGTCAAACTGTTAGTAGAAACATCAAGAACACGAAGCTCCGAAATCTGTCCAATCTCTGCTGGAATGGGACCTTGTAGAATGTTCCCATCAAGCAACAAAGTCCTCAAGTTCTTGCACTGACCAATCTCCTTTGGAATGTTATTTTCCAAAAGATTATTAGAAAGCCTCAAGTGCCTCAAAAATAAGCATTTAAATGAACTAGCAAATCGTATTCCACCAGTCAGCCTATTATTCGACAAATCAATAACTCTCAACTTTCCAAAACCAATCAAAGTAGCAGGGATATCACCAGTGAAAGAATTAAAAGACAAATTAAGGAAGCGAAGAGAGTGAAGGTCAGAGCTTATCTGATGAGGAAGCTTGCCTGAAAAATTGTTCCGTTGAAGCTCCAAAACCTCCAAGAACCGAAGCTTGGCGATACTACCAGCTGGGATCTCACCGGAAAAATGGTTGTAAGAAAGAATAAGAGTTCGAAGGTAAGGCAAGTTTCCGATGGAATTCGGCAAAGTTCCAGAAAGGCGTGAAGTGGAAGTGCCAGTGAGGCTCAAAGCTACAACTTCCGTAGTAGTGTTAGAAAATTTTTGACAGGTGACGCCATACCAGGTGCAGTAATCAGGGTTAGTAGTGAGGTTCCAGGTGGAGAGAAGATTTGAAGGGTCTCCAAAAATTGAATTCTTGAAACTTAGGAGAGTACTACTGTCTGAGTCATTGGAAGAGAAAGCTTCAGCTGAAAATGTTAATGCTAAGCCACCAACAAAGAGAAACCAGGCTGCTGCTGCTGCTGCTGCCATTGTTGACTTTATGATGATATACATGAATGATTTTAGAGATTTGAAGTAGAAGAGATGGGAAGAGAAGGGATATATGGGAATGATTAATGGATGTATCGAGAAGAAGAGAAGAAGTGGGGGGCCGAAGAGAGAAAGAAGGAGAAGAAGATCTCTACTCTGCTCTACTCTACTCTCTCTACTCTCTTCTCCGCAGGAACAAGACAAGAAAGCCGGCGTAAGAAACGGGCTTGGTTTTACTTTTGTTCCTGTACTTTACTACCTTGTTTTTTGGCCTTTGTTTTTGTCACATGACATGCACCCCCATCTGACAATTTGAAATTAGTCATGTTTTTTAGGTTTAGAAAGGAAATTTTTGAATAGCCATTAGACTTGGATTTGAATATAGCTAATCAATCCCATTTATTTTGGTTAATTTCTGGTTTTTTTCTTTTTTTTTTTAAAAAACCATTCCTCGTTAAAGGTTGAGTTGAAGGGGAAGCTACCTAGCTAAGCAAGTTTTTATTTTGTGAAAGCTCGAATTTTCATATCAAGATGTTCAATTCTACCTGCAATGTTGCGGCTCGCAATGTGTTTTTTTTTGTGGATTATAATTCTTATTCAAAGGTGAAAGATGAGATAAGGCCATAAATTTTGCATACAACGAAAGATTTAGTTCAAATTAGAACCAAATATAAGCTGCGGATGGGAAAGCTTCGAAAGGGTGATGATGAAATGCTAGGATAATGGATAAAAATGTGGCTTAATTATTCTCGGTTTGTTATTCATTGGAGTGCAAGTCATTGATTTGTAGTTAGTTAGTAGTAAATAGTATGGAATGGCATCTGAAAAAAAGGCTCGTGATTTTGACTTCTCTCCTGACACCCAAAAGGTATCTTTTTCGTCTATTTCCATGTACTTCTCCTGTCAAAATCTGACAGTGTCTGTTTTCAAGCCTAGGCGTGGTGTCTTTCAACAGGAGTAAATTAGAAATTGGCCATTTTAGTTCTAAGAAACTAAGAAGCTGATGAAACTTGGCACTATATCTTTGGAGTTTCTTTTCATTCTTCGTAATTGTAAAATCCTGGTCTTTGGCTTATAATGTTTTTGATGAATATTTATCCCAAAAAAAAAAAAAAGAAGAAGATTAAATTCGATTGACTGACGGGCAAACAATCATAAAATACTCCTTACTGTTGAAAAAGCAAAAAAAAAAAAAAAGTCAATGCCATTATACATGTAGTAGAAAATGTTTGTGAACAGATTTAGTAGTAGCATTTAGAAAGTAGGGTTTCGCAGTTAGACGTTAGGTGTCAAAATGTCTGGTAATAAAAAGTACTTTCAGTTAACAGTTCGATCGAAGTGATTACAGCTATCCTTGCTGCTGCTGCTTCCCTTTTCACTGGAGTGTTTGGATCTTTCTTTCTGACCTTTTCGCTTTGATGATTGTAGTCTCTTTTCAGGGACAAAAAAAAAAAAAAAAAACATTCATGTGACCTGAAGTTATTGTCAGTACATGCGTTCCATACAATTGTTTGATCAGACCTGTGTATTAATTTAAATGTTAATTGTATTTTTAGTATTGAATCAATTTGGTTAGGTCAAGTATATGTTAGTGATTTGAGGCATTTGGTTGTCAGCGTTATGTAAATCACATGATGAGATGATAAATGCTTTTTTATCGTTAATCCTATTACTTATTTGTTATTATTGTTTAAGCATTTATATAAATTATTCAAAAAAAAAAACCAAAAAAACAAAATTCCACGTGGTAAGTTCTTAAAAAGTTTTAGCTTTTTCTCATTTTTTTTTACAATTTCTATAAATGTTTCAAGTAATAAAAATAAATAAAAAGATTAACAGCTAAACGATTCTTGTTATGTGATTATATAATTAAATTAATATTTTTTATCTAAATTGCTTACAAAAAGGTCACGTTAAATAAATGGGTTCAATATAAAAATTTAATTAACATTTAATTTGATATACAAACTTGATTAATTAATTGCTTCTAGTATATGGATAGTACCAATCATTAACCCATCGTTCAACTCTGAAAAAAAAAAAAAAATCACATTTTAAGACGCCCGTTTTATTTCAATTCAAAAGGAAGTTTTGAAGAAACCTAACTCCACTAAGGAGCATCGGTTTCAGCTCCAACCTTCATGTCATCTCATGGGTGGGTGGTTTAACTGTTTTTTTTTTGGCTAAATTGTATGATACGTGTTGGACTAAGAAAATTCCTTATTTGGCTATCTAAACAATATATTATTTTGACTTTTTTGCCACTTCGGTTGAGATTTCATTGAAAAATTGACAGAGAAAATCCATAAAAATCCTTGCAAATCCTTTTTTTTCATCAACTTAGAAAAACATGTTTACTCGTTGAGAAAATAAAGGATTTTTAAGAGCTTTTCGTTAATTTTTCAATGAAATTGTAAAAAAAATGATAAATTCAAAAAATCATATTATTTAGATGACAAAATAAAAATTCTTTGATTTAGAGAAACATTTGTTTTTTTGTTTCAGATCAAGAGGTGTTTTATAAGTTAGTTGCAAGTCAATTGAGATTAAATTTATCGTTTTTGAGTTATAACGAGCACGGAATTACACATAATTTTTTATCAATTCAAAAAACTGAACTTTTTAAACTCATTAGCAATCCATGTTTAATACCACACTAATAAGAGAGATTAGTTTTTCAAATCTAAAAATTGAACTCCTTACTTGGTAACTTAGAAAAATCATTTTTATCACTCCACCTGTAATCTTTGACTTCGAGTAAAAAAAACATTCAATACTAATTTTTTATCCGAACATATGAGGATAGAAAGAAAAAAGAAAGTGCCTTTTCCCATGGTTTACTAAAAATTCTTATAGTTTTATCTTTTTTATTGAAATTTTTTAATTCAGTAGCTATTGAGTTATTGGATTGTTAAAATGTTTTTTCTTTGATTTTTTGTAGTTTTCTCATATTATCTAAGATTGTCTCGTTAATCAATAATTTTTTTATTCTCATAATATTTCACGTTTGATTTTAACTTCATCAGTTTACGCTTTCGTATAATAATTTTTATTATAATTTTCAAAATAAAAATTATTTAATTATTTAATTTTCAATTTTTAGTTTTCTTGTACAAAACATTACTTTGTCCTTTTGCTTTTCAAAACCCATTTACTCTATAAGTTTATAATAAATGGTTGGCTTAAAGCTTTTATTATAAATTTTTGTAAATATTTTTTTTATTTAATCTATAGATCGAAATTTTTTTTCTTGATTATCGAAGTTGATTCTTAAATATTGTTGGGATGGTCATCACCAATGCGCGGTAAGGACTACCAATTGAAAATTCATTCTGCAGCTTCTATGAATTTTTTCTTTTCAAAAAAAAAAAAAAATTCAGATCGCATTTCACAGACTTTCTCATGAAGAATACCACTCAATATGTCGCGAAGACGTTTAGATGTCTTAAATTTGCTATTAAAAAAAAAAAAAAAAAAACTTTGTAACGCAAAAAATCATGTATGATTGCATTTTGGGAACATCACATTATGATTCTTAAGTTTGTGAATTGACATGATTATACCTTTAAGATTGAAAATTAAATTTCTTCGAATACAACTACCGATCTCTGGTCAACTCGTATTGCTTTAGGCAGCTCTACCTATTGCTTGATGCAATTGGCCAAGCATTGACCTCCCTTGTGTTTCCTTTTTTTCATTTTATTATTATTATTATTATTGCGTCATGGGCCGTTTTTCATTTACTGTCCATTATTATTGTCTATCCTTGTCTCGTTTGATCGAAATTAATAAGATTTTTTTTTGGTCAATTCTTTTTTAAATTTTTTTTAACTAAACCTTGTTTCTTGATTATAGACCATGAACTGTCTGTGAATTCAATTTTGAAAGCATGTGTCAATATATATATATATGAGAAAACAAAAATGATATAAATCGATCCTCGTGTCGGATAATAATTAACTTATTCATTTACTTAAAGGAACATACTTTTAATCTTTTGATCCTTATCTTAAAACTGACGAAATGAAAACCAATTTTCTTCATTAATTCAATAATCATAAACTAAATCATTCATCTTACAAGAAAGGTTTGGTTGATTATAGGCATATGCATTATGATGTGCCACTAATCATCACAGATGAGAATGCCTTAATGGTTATATATATATATTTACAAATAATGAAGAATCATTAGGTTAATTGTTACATAAACCGAGACTAAAAAATTTATTATTTTTTAGTTAAGTCAATATCAGAACATTTTTAGTTTTTGATCCATCATTAGATTTTTTTTAAATCAAGTCAGTCTAAATTTGATATTTTTTAAAAATAACTATAATCAGTTATTTGTGAGTAACATAAATTAAATTTTAGTATTGGTCTAATCAAAACAATTATTTTACCGCTAGATCACATTTACTAATGGGTGTTTAGGTACATTAGTTTATAAATACAAAATTTTGATGTATTTTAGATATCAAATTAATGTGGTTAATAGTTAATGAAGTTCTTTTGTTAAGCAATTTTATTAGATCAAATCATAATGAAATCAACAGTTTTCATCTAAACCAAAGCCAATTTCATTTCAAGTCATCAAAATTATAAATAAATAAAAATTCATTTATAACAAAATTATAAATAAACTCCACCACTGTCACTTGTTAGGTCGCATCACACGCAGCTTCACCCCTCTCTTTTTCCCTTTCTATCTTTTTTTTATTCTTTATTGTTAAATCAAATTTTCCCGAAAAATAAACTTTTTTTTTGTGGTTTTCTATACCTTTCGGATGGAACAAATATAAAATCACGTTACTTTTATTCGAAAATCCAAATAATAAATACCTATTATTCAATACTTTAATAGTGAAAATAAAGATAATTTATTTCAAAAAAAATTTGTGTTCTTCTCCGAAAGAGACATCGACAAATGAGAAAAACTCTGTGAATGATGTAAATTTTAATTTATCAACTCGCCATTATCAAAAAAAGAAAAATAAATAAACAAATGGTGAGCCCTCAGCGACA